AGCATCCAGTACAACACACACCTCATCTTTTGAGGGTTAAGTCAGGCATGAAAGGTCTTGGTGCAAATCGAACCCGCTTTAAGACAATTCATGATAATGGCAAATTTAACAGCAGTCTGAAGCGAATGCGGCGAGAAGTGCTCCCAGACATATTTTTATTGTTCTCGCAAGTAAACTAGAACTCGAACACACCCGATACACCGAGTGTGTTGGCGCAAACATCAGCAGCATTCGTCGCTTAAAATCTTCTCGTGTCGAGAGTATCGATTTTACAGAAAGATTGCGCGTTAGTGCCTGTTCTCGCGCGCGGTATTCCGCTTGGTAAATTCATGTGACCAAATTTCTGACCAGATCAGCTTTGACGTTTAGAATTAGAGGTTTTCGAGATTCCCAGCCCTCAACGGCGTAGACCCTCAGCATCAACAGTCTTACGGTAGATACCTTCTATTCTCCCAGGCTCCTGAAAATGTCTCACCAGCACATGTATTCTAGGCGACAACATCTGATCCCTTCGGGATCAACAATCGTCAACGCTAACTAGCCTGGTCTAGCTTTCCCAATGATAGGCTTCATATTCCATCCTCACAGATAATACGGGCCTTTCACAATTTGGTCATGATATTGACATCAAATACCACTAGTAACGTGGTTGCTGTGCGCTTTGCGCAGAGGAACTTTCGACTCAAAGAATCCGCGTTAACACATGCAAAGAAGTCAAAATTGTACACTCTATCCAGGAGTGAAAACAAATAATAACCTTACTTGGAAATATCAGAGCGAGTCTTATATGCTCCGCTAAGAATCCACTACTCTCACCTGTACCATTTATGTAAATACTGATATTTCGGTCACATATATCCAAAAGTGCAATGAATATTGTGCAGTTCTACATTTTACAGTTATAATAGTGTATGAACACAAATTTACCCATTTCACTGTTAGACTTTATATTATTTGGGTACAAATTTAGTGCCATTTATATTAATGATTAGCTTTTCAAGTTTTTAAAAAATTCGCAAACTAGAGATTTCAGCGATCTTGAATAACTGCTTAGCTTTACTTATGAAATGATCTTGCGATCATTTCATAAGTAAAGCTAAGCAGTTATGTCAACGTTCACCAGCACAAATATGGGCGAGCTCAAGCATCCTACCACGCGTGTCATGCTCCCCCTGGAGGTGGCACGAGCTGGAGCTTTGGCGACGATTCAGCTTCCCCCTCCACAGGTCGTAAGCGCATTAACAGCCACAAGCTCATACAAAGCAAGCCACCAAAATGGGGTTGCCTCGCGCAGCACCGGTTCCTGCAGCAGTCCAAATGTCAGCTCAAATGTCTATTCACGAAGCTACGGGAGAAATTCGTATAGCGCTTATTAAGACAAGTAGTGACGCGGAGCTGGTGGATCGTATCGTGCAAAACTGCTTCGAGATACTGGAGAGCCAGTGCATAAGCTCTGAGACCTTCACTGTCCCTACAGTAGAGCAGTTGCCTTACGCCGCGAACAAGCTCACGGAGTTTGGTGGCTTCAATGGTGCACTTTGTTTTGGCTTTTTGAACACGCAAGACATCCAGTTCCCAGCCTTAAGCGCGGCATTAACGCAGAGCTTGATCGACATCAGTGTCAAGAATGCATGTCCTATAGTGCCTGCTGTGTTTGTTGGAGGATCGCGTGTGGCTTCAGTTAAGGTAAAAGAAGGATGGGGGACTGAGTTTGCCGACATTGGATCATTGATTCAGCTTGGTGTTCAAGAAAGCAAGTAAGACATTTGCGGGCAGTGTAGCCGAAAGCTTTAATTTGATTACTCAAGTATATGCTGCATTAGTGCATCATTTTTTTGTCATTCACTGAAAGTCTTTCATAACAAAAAACCCCATGAGGTTAACTATCTTTTTGCCTTTCGTACTTAAGCGACATCAGCATGTTGGTAGGACAAGAGTTTAACCTGCATCCTCTATAAACACCATGGGCGCTCCACCTTCAGCTGGCGAGGTAAAGATCGTCGTATTGCGTACGGTGGGCGGCGAGGTTGCTCCTGCTTCTGCTCTGGCTCCTATGGTCGGTCCTTTAGGTCTGTCTTCTAGGAAGATTGGTGAAGACATCTGCAAGACCACTCAGGACTGGAAAGGACTTAACGTTACTGTCAAGCTCACCATTGTTAACCGTCAAGCAACGGTTACTCTTATCCCCAGTGCTTCTTCTCTGTTGGTCAAAGAGCTCAAAGAGCCTCCTCGTGACCGTAAAAAGGTGGAGAACATCAAGCATGATGGCAATCTATCGCTTGACTAGGTCATTTCAGTGGCTCGCATCATGCGTGAGCGCTCGATGGCTCGCACGCTTGCTGGCACGGTTAAAGAGATCCTTGGCATGGCTTCTTCGCTAGGGTGCACGGTCAACGGCGAGGCTCCAACGGAGATTCAACGCCTCATCAGCAAAGGTGAGATGGACATTCCAGACGATTAAAAGTTGGAAGTGGTTCATGTCAATACGACAATTCGATTAAAGCCCTTTATAACTATAGCGTGTAAAATTGGCCTAGCGAGAACGGCTGGAAATACGATCATGGAATTCTTTGGTTGAGCAATAATCGGGGTGTTTTTAATGTTGATACATTGCAATTGTTGTGTAGATTTGACAGGTGACGTATGTGGAACGGCAAAAGGTGCGATAACGAGTCGTAATATATTGTGTTGAGATGAGAATTTGGTGTGCCGATGATCGCCAAAT